ATAAATGATGACTTAGTTATGAAACAGTACAACACACTGATCAGAGCGGCAAGGTGAAGAACTGTGCAGGATCTACTTTAAGAGAAAAAAATTAAATACTCTTAAGGACACAGAAGAAGATCTGAGTAAATGAAAACAAAGAACCTGCTCTTGAATAGAAATCATATGTCACACCAACACCAATTCTTTTATATATGTTTAGTTGTCAGTGGACACTACACCTTTATTTTTTATTAATTTATTTATATGTGGTGCTGAGGGTCGAACCCAGTGCCTCACACAGGCGAGGCAAACACTCTGCCTCTGAGCCGCAGCCCATCTCCTGCTAATACCAACTCTATGTTGATGTACAAATTCAGTGTCATTCCGACCAAGAAGAGAACAGTAGGACAGAGTGCAGAGGGCAGGGAGGCCTCTCAGGACAGCCAGCTGACTCCTCTAACATGAACCACAGGGTGTAACACTGCAACCATAAAAGCAGAAAAATGGGGAGTTTTGAATTTTAAACTATCAAAAAAAAAAAAACCATACAATTTTAGTGTGGGAAAGGCCCCTGCAAAACACGATCCGTGTAATCCCAAAATTATGAAAATATGACTACATAAAATTTTGACAGGAAGAAATACCATGAGCCATCTGACGAAGAAAGTGACCAGCTGAGAATGACATCGGAGTGTGGATGACAGACAAAGCCTCATTTCTCAATATGTAAACATTTAAAAATGAATCAATAAGGAAAACACCCCTAAGAATATGGGCATCTACCGTTACAGAGCTTCACGTCCCACGTGTTGGAACAATGTTTTTAAAACACTTGTACTTAGCTTCACTGAGGGGTGAGCTTCATCTACGGCTGCCTGTGCCAGCAGCTTGTGCCCTTCCCCTGCTGCCCTGTGTCCCTTGGTGGAGGGGAGGGAGAATACTGGGGACTGGATGGAGTGCGTTGTGTTCCCTACAAGCCTGGTCCTGTCAAAATGAGCCCCACTACTACGTATGACTCTAATGCTCTAATAAACACACAAAAGGAGTCATTTCTGTTTATATAAAAACCCTACCTGACCACTTTCCAAACGTCGTTGTGCCACTCCGCCTTCTCACTGTGGCCAAGACACAGGCCTGAGATGGCCAACTTATGGCCACTTGACCACAGTTTGGAGGTTTGGTCCACCCTGCTGCTTTGGGGCCCCTGCCAAGGCAGCACCTCACAGCAGGGCCAGTGGCAGAACAAAGCCAGTCACCCCTGGCCAGAAAGCAAAAGAGAAGGGGAGGACTGGCTCCCCCTGGGGAGCTCCCACTGGACCCCACCTCTGAGGCTCCATCTGTGGACCACCCACGCTGGGAACAAACCTTTAATACACAGGCCTGCAGGGGACAGTCGGGACCCTGCACCAGCAGCAGAGAATTCCAGCTGCTAGGTCAGTCCTTGTAATTGTAGCCATTCTTCGGTATCTGCAGAGAGGGACGCCTCAGGGTTCCCATTTTTATTTCCCTAATAATGGATAGTGCTAAACATCTTTTCATGCATTTTTATTTTGCCGTTTTAATTTTTTTCTCGGTGAAATGTCTGTTCAAACATTACATAATCTAAGGACCCTGCCTTCTTAGTCCACCATTTCTGGGCCTGTCTCAGTTGACTGATTTCTCGTCTGATTGGAGTCAGGATCTCCACCTGATGATTCTTGTTTGTGTGTCACACTTTAGCTTAGCCCGTTTTCCTGCTGTTATGACAGAACATCACAGACTCCATCATTTATTTGAAAAGGAAATGTGTTTCTCAGAGCTCTGGAGATTGGGCAGCCCAAGGCTGAAGGGTCACATCGGGGGCCGGTCTTCCTGTGGCATGGTAACCCAGCAAGGGCCTCGCCTGGTGAGAGCAAGGGGACTGGGGCCAGAGAAAGCAGAAGAAGCTGCGTTCCCTATGGCTAACCCTCCTGGGGAGATCCACCTCAACTCTCTCGGGGCCCCACCTCCCCAAACAGCATGCGGCCAGGTAAATTTCCACCCACCTTCTAGAGGGATGTTTGAGCCATAGCAGAGCTGTGGATTTTATTTTAGTGGGTGCTCAATTTCTTTAAGGTGTATGCCCAAGCACATGTAAGGTGCTTGGGATCAGTTTGAGCCTTTTGAGGCTTGATTTTAAATTTTAAGGAAGGTCAGTGTTTCAAGACTCATTTAGTCCCACAAGTAAGATGGTATCCTGGGGACTCTGTGTGCTGCATGCGCGGTGTGTAAGAGGCCACTCTGTTTCGGCTGGTGTGAAGATAACCACCCGTGTTGCGTGGCCTCCTTCTTCCCAGTAGATCCCCCCCCAGTGGAATTTCATCCTGTGCCTGCTCAGGACTGGATTAGTTCAGCCCTGCTCAGGACTGGATTAGTTCAGCCCCTACCCTGTGCGCTGGGGGTCTAGCCACTTTGGCTTCTCTAAGCCCTGGTCTCTGCCTCCCCTGCTCTGGGCTCTGGGTTCTCCACCTGAGTCCAAGACTCTCCTCATTTCCACCTCCCTGATTTCTACTTGTTACAATAGGAGGGCCTTTCCCCTGGCGATTGGAGCTTCATCGGGAAGCAGAAGTCTTTTTCCCGTTTTCCATTTAAAGAATCCTAGCCGAGAACTTCACCCAGTTTGTCTGGTGACCCTCCTGCTTCCATGAGCCAATCAAGGTGGGGACGGCAAAGGGCGCAGAGTCAGAATTTCTAAGGTTGGAATGTGGGAGAATCAGTCCCCAGTAAAAAGTGGAGAGCCCTTTTCAGAAGCTGGAAGGGCGGGCGCGGGGGTGGCAGAAAGAAAGAAGACGCAGGTTCATACAAAAAGGATCTCAGAGTGGAGCAGGAGACAGGCTGTAGGAGCCCCATGGTCCAGAAGGCTGAGTTCATTCCCAGCCCACGTTTTCCAGGGTCAAGGACAACACAGAGGGCCCAGTGTGCAGAGATGCCTTGTGCAACAGTTGCACTGAGACAGATAGAGGGCTACACGGCTCTCCTCTGCCTCCCCTCCTCTGCCCCTCAGCCCTGGGCCGGGAGGAGCCCTCTCCCACCTCTCAGAGGAGAGCTGGGGCTGGTCTATTCTTCCAGACTACACACATTTGAACCCCATGAAGAGTTTTATTTTGGTAACTGAAACTTCTGTTCTTTGCAACAGTTGAACCTGAGAATTCCACCTGAAGTATGGAGTGTGCTCTGGGAAGGAGGCAGTGTGGGTTCCATCCTTTTCTGATAATGCCCATAACCCATCTTCCAATCTCTCCAGGGTGTGTGGAGGGCCCAGGAAGGGCGTCTCAGGAGGCCACCTTGGTGCCTGCTCTCCTGGTCTGGTTTTGGCATTCCATCTGCCTAGTGAGTGTTCCAAACCTTCCTCTGCGGAGAGTTGTTTAACTCTTTCCCCTTGAGTGAGGTATGGTGAGGCCAGAGGCAGACCAGGAGAGAGAAACTGGAGTTCCACATTTCTGTTCTCCCAGTTCCCTGGGGGATCAGGGCTCAAGCAGGGTCACAGTCAGAGGAAGGGAGGACCTGTCAGCAAACACCACCCTGTGGTTTAGGAGGGCAGAAAAGCGGCAGGAGGAATACCAGGTTCAGGAAGGATGGTTCTAGTGAGCTCTGGCCAGAGCTGTCTCCAGTGTCTGGTCCTTGACCCTGGGGTGTCTAGAGTGGCCGCATAGTGGCCTGGAGCGTGAGAATGTGATAAGAAGGGAACTGACTAGTCTCCAGCCAGGACCTTGAAACTGAGTCAAACAGCATTTACAAACCTCACATCTCAGGTGGGTTGTGGGTTCCCTGGAGACGCCTGGCCACAGAGGACACCAAGGTGCACCAGTCTGTCTCCAGCCTCTCTCCAGCATGTGCGTATATACACCTCCACCTCTATACAGCCTCTATCTGTCTGGCCCTTTTCTGCCAAGGTCTGAGTTCACCTTGCCTCTTCCCCAAAGCCCTCCTGGGCGGATTCCTTAGAGAAGGCTCACACTGGGTCTCTCCTATGCTGCAGAATGCTACAGGCTGTGAGCATCAGCAAGAGAACAGGCGCAGAGACAGCACCACAGAGGACTGGGCTGCTGCAGGGTGGGAAGCTGGCAAAGCTCAGGACGAGGACACAGCTCTCCTGTGTACCAGAGGGCCATCCAGGCCCGCCACAGGGGTGAGCAAAACCCGGCTCCCGACTGGAGTGCAAAATCTAGGGGCACCACGAAATTCAGTGGTCAAGACAAATACTATTTAAAGCAATGTTCTTAAAGTACATCAAAATGTTTACGTCGGGTGTAAAGTACATTAAAATGTTTACGTTGGAGCCAGTGTGGCTCCCGACAGGGGTAGCGGCTTCCAGCTCACCCAGCCCTTCAGCAGAGGCTTGAAGAAACTAAGGCCAGCAGCGAGGCCCCGAGAGCATGGTGGCGGGAGGAGACAGCTCATAGGAAAGTCCGGAGCACCTGCGGCAACAGAGCTAGGGGCAATTTGGGAACCTATGGTGGCGATCCGGTTGTAGGCAGGGACGGGACTGAATGGGGATTCAGGAATCGTCTAGGGAGACACAAGCCTAGGGTTTCTTACACAGTAATGGCCTATGGGGGACAGAACGAAGAGGTCAGGTCTGGGTACAGGCCAGTCCCTCAGGAGACTAGCGCATTATCCGAGTGAGCGGTGACAGCATCCCATCCAGACAGGTGCAAATGGACTCCCAAAGACCCCGTGCGGACCTGGGTTTCTCGGGTGACACCAGGCTGGGCGGCTCCCGGTCTCCCGCAGGGTGCCCAGGGCGCTGATCCGCCCGAACTCGGCGGGGGCTGGGGCCAGCGGGCGGGGCGGTCCCGCAGGCGGCCTGACCGCGCGCCGCCCAATCGCTGCGGGCGCGGAGCCGGGGGCTGGGGCCGCCGCCCGGACGTGCCGCGGCTGCGCCGACTGCGCGAGAGCCGGGCAGGCAGAGCGCGCTCAGTCTGCCGGCGGCGGCCGTGCGCGCACTGACGTGCCGAGCGCCGCACCGCCCGCACCGAGCCGCGCCGCCACCGGGCCGCGCCGCCGCCCGCCATGGTGTCATGGATCATCTCCAGGCTGGTGGTGTAAGTGGCCTTCGCCCCCTCCCCTCCGTGTCCCCTCCTGTCCAGCCCCGGCCGCGCGCTCCTGCTGCGCCGGCCCCGGCGCCTGGCTATTAATACCCCGCGCCGCTAAATTTAGCAGGTACAGTAGCTGCCCCGGGCGCCGCGGGCCGGCAGGGGCGCGGGTACCCGCGTGCAGAGTCGCCGCGGCCGATGCGGGGGCTGCGGGGCTGCGCCTTGCCGCGCCCCAACCGCTTTGTTCCCGGTGGACAGACTGGCAGAGGCCCCGAGGGGCGCGCCGCGGTGACACACACGTTTCTGGGGGAGATGCCGGGGTCGATGGGCACCCGCCCCGGCGCCACGCTTTTGTCGGGTGGAGGCGACAGACAGAGCCCAGACGCGCGAGGGGCGCTGCCTGGAGGGTCAGCGCGGAGACGGTGGGGAGACGGAGGCGGGGCCCCCGGAGGTCGGAAAATACTCCTTTTTAGGTTTCTCAGATCGACAGCAGCAAATGCAGGTGGGACACAGGAGGACGGCTGTGAATCTTGGGGTAGACACCTGCGTCCCCCAGGTCTGATTTCTGTTGCAGTGGGTGGGAGACGGGGCAGGCGTCTTCAGGAATGCTCAGGATGTCTCCAGGTGACAGACGGCCCCCAGGGCGGTAGCACTGACACCTCCGGGCGCAGGAGAGCAGAGTCATCTGGGGTGAGGCCCGTGAAGTCCTTGGGGATGGGCGTGGGGGACGTTTTTATCCTAACCTTCCCCGCAGGGGGCAGGAGAGATGTGCCACCTGCTCAGAGCAGCCAGGGCTGGCATGGGCCTGGGGTGGCTGAGGGGCACGGGCCTCGGCTTTTCTTTGTCTGAAAAAGAGGGGTCTAGAGGATTGTGCCTCATCACTGCCTGCGTTTGACACATGGTCGCGTCCCCTCCTTCACTGATTCCAGAGCAGCAGCCGGGCAGCGCTCTCAGGTCCTTCCCAGCATTGTCTCGGGCACCTCCCCGCTCTCTTCCAAAGCCAGTGCCTTGCCTCTTGCCCCCTAGTCAGTCCCTCAAGGCCCCTCCACAGCTGCCGCCAACTGTCATTTGGCTTGAGCTGTACCTTGAGAGGGCATGCTGAATGTTTAGAGGATTCCTGCAGGCAGAGCCCCATGAATGACACCAGAAAGCCTGGCAGCCCTTGCCACGCCTCAAGCCTGGCCAAGGCCCTTCTTGCCTTCAGGGTGGACCGTGATCTCTACATTTACCAGTGGCTGCTGCAGGACCCTCAGGGTGGGGCAGCAGAGGTTAGTGGGCCTGACTGGTGCTCTCTACAGGTCCACTGGGCTGGGGTGAGAGCTGAATGGGAACAGGAGACCACCTTCAGTTTTATCAGCACCACCTCCCAAAGAAGGGGGCGACCTTGCAGAGTAAAAAGCAGAGGCGGATGTGGGAGGGGTCTCTGTGACCTTTCTTTTCTCAAACAACCACACTCTGCAGAACCAGACTTCAGAGAATTTAAATGACCCTGAGAATTGCCACCCCCTCAGGTCAGGGGAGGGTTGGTGGGATTTGGGCTGTTGGTCCCACTGGACTCCAAAAGGTCAAGATGGGTATCACCTGTCCCCCAGTCCCCGGTTCACTATTTAAGCCCAGCATGAAGTATGAATTATTAGCTCCACTTTTAACAAGCAATAACACCTGTTTTACATAAGTAATACCTGCTCATTATAGGGTAACTAGAAAATGTGCATGGAAATCATGCACAGTAGCACTACACAGAGATAACTAACAATGATTTTGAGGGGCCTATTCTTTTTTTAAAATTTTTTTTTGGTTGTGGTTAGACACAATACCTTTATTTTATTTATTTATATTATATGGTGCTGAGGATGGAACCCAGAGTCTAGGCGCTAGGCCAGTGCTCTGCTGCTGAGCCACAGCCCAGCCCTGAGGGGCCTATTCTTATGCATATATGCCCTTGTATTGACATTTACCATTCAAGGGAATGGTTGATGGCCCAGGACTGCACACATCTAGGGGAGCATCTTAGGAAGGGGGAGGGATATTATGTTTGGACTCAGAAAACCCATGGTTCAAATCCTACTTCTACCTCTTGCCAGTGGTCCCAGGTCCTACCCCAGATCACCACAGAGCTTAGTTCACAAGCTAATTAGCCCCATGTTGCTGTTGCATTGATTTCAGTGACACACAATGGGTGAACTCCCCAGCACCTGGAGAGTCCCAAGTCATTGGTGACTCCTCTTGTTCTCCTAGGTACACCACAAGAGCATGGAAGAGCTCTGGAAGGGCTTTTTCGAGCTGGATTCCCTAAGGGCCAGTAGCCTGAGTAGGTGGGCTCTGGCTCCAAGCCCCGGTTTGGCATGAGCAGCTCTCCTTTGGCTCAATTTATATATTGGGGTTTTAGGTTGACTATGATGAGGAAGATATCTGGGTCTAACTGCTAATAAAAACCACTGGTCTAGTCTGCCCCATTTCTCTGTCCAACTGCGGAGGGAAGGAATGTCCCTTGCCCAGAGACAGAGCTGAGCTGGTGGAGAGGAAAGAAACTCTGGACTTTTTATTCAAAACCCCTTCCACCTTGGGTACCCGGGGGTCATGCTGAACTGAGCTCTGTCCAGCTCCTGAGCTCCCTGGGAGAGCAGCCTACGGTTCTGTCTCTAGTCCCATTTCCTGTGAGCAGTCTTTTCAAGGTTGTGTCAGCCTTTGTCACATCAAAGAACATTAAAGGAAGACCTATCGCTGTGTTCTGAGGATGGAGAGGGAGTGCCTTCCTGTCTTTGTGGTCCCAGGCACCCCCTCCCCCCCCAGGGGCCTAGAGAGGAGCAGATGGCTCCTGGGGACAGCTGCCTGAGTGTCCAAGGGCAGCCGGTGGCTTGTCTCCCTCTCCAACCCCTCACCCCTCTGGGGGCTCTTTTTAAGGCACCTATGCCACCCAGCAAAGGTGGTTGCTTTGAAGAGATCAGAGGCCCTCGGGATAAGGAGGGACACCGTCTGGTGCTGTTCCCTGGGAATGGAGTCCCTGGGTGGGCATCATGACAGGCCTGTACCCACTGGGCACAGTTCACTGAGTGGGCATCAGTTTGAGATACTCCTTTCTTGCCAGTTACTATCCTCCTTGGCATACCTGGGAAGAATTAATAAAGAACTCTTCAGGTGGGCCCTGCAGACAGACAGTGGGATGTCTGCTCAGACAGGAGGCTCGGGGCTTGCTGCTCACCTTGTATAAAAATACTTTGTTTTCTTTACAAACAGTTCAAGGCCTAAGCTGCATATGTTTCACCCTGGGGAGGATATGTTCACATGTACCTCGAGGGAGGGGGACACAGACGTTCTGTGACTTGGGAGAATGTGCCCTTTTGTAGCATTTGCTCCAAGAATCAAATGTTACTTCATTGTCTCTGGACCCAGTTTTGGCCAAGGTCCAGGTGGTTGGCTGAACAGAGCTTCCCAGCCCAAACCCCACTCACTGTGCAGGGAAACAGGCTTACCTCAATTAGGTTTTCTGAATGACCCACGGCTGGGCAGGAAAAGAATTCCTTCCACCCTGAACATCTTTTTAGTTTTAGGAAAGCACAGTGTGGTGCTCAAGACAGAAGCTTAGCTTAATGGCTGATTATCTGGCCACGTCCCAGGAGAGCACTGTGGGGGGCTCCTCCTGGGTCAGGATGTGAACGTGCAGGAGAGGAAGGAATGTGGGTTGTCCTCAAGACGTCCCGATCACAGCAAAGCAAGCAGAAAAACACAAACCCTTAAACATAGGCTTGGCCCCTTGGGGGCGCTGCCGTGTGGCCCCCACGGGAGCTGGGTCAGAGGAAAAGCTTGGGAGGGATCGCAAGGGGCTCTGGGCCTCCCGCTCTTTCCTGGTCGGAGTCTAAGGGCACCGCCCACCTGCCCACCTGGGGACCAGGTCCCAGGAGTCCTCCTGGCTCTAGGGTTCCTGCTCTTCCAGGCCCCTTCCCCCACCTGGCCTGGCTGCACCACATCTATTCCTAAGCAGGAGGTGTCCTCAAGGAAGTGACAAACGCCAGCTTGGGCTTCACTGCGGTTCAGCTGCCTCATCGTTGCCCGCCTGCTGGGAAGTGGCTGCTGAGGCTTGTCCCCACTGACAAGGGGCCTCACCTGCTGGTTACCGGTCCTCCCTCCTTCCTTCTGAAAAGGGCATCTTCCTTGCAGGTGTATTATTAGGGGTGGAAGTTCATTGCCGAGGATGAGGACGAGCCTCACATGTGCCCTGGTCACCAGCCACCAACAAGAGCTGTAGGTGCCTGCCGTTTAGCTCTGAGATTGCTCTCCTCTGCTTCTGGGCTTTCGAAGGCCCTGAGGGATTGGTGGATGGATAATTATATACAAATCATTTGTTCCGAACCTTCAGATCTTGTCTGTCTTCACACAGAATTACATTGTTGACCCTTTGGGGAGTTTTAGTGACTCCTTAGAAAAAGGGAATGTTGATAAAGGACAGAATGTTTGGTGCTTGGTGGAGGGGTTGGGAGGAGCCTCGATGGGCAATCAGGGAAGCCCTTCAGGCGTGGCGCGGGTGCTCAGGGCAGAGGTAGCACACCCGTTTCATCTCTAGCAGCGGCATGAGCTGCCTGGGAGGAGCACGAGGCTGGGCTGGGCTCAGTGGGGAAGAAGTCCCAGATCCTGCATGCTGGTCCAGGGTGGGCTCTCCCAGGCCTAGCCCATCCCCAATCAGGAGAAGTGTGCCCACTGTGAGAGGTACCCGACTGATAACCAGAGTACCCGCTGCCCTGTTCCTATCCCTTCCCGTCCTGCCCCGGCCACACCTTCAGACACCTGGCTCCTCGGGTCCCAGAGGCTGCAGCCAGCACAGGGAGCTGTCTAGCCAGTGCTCTCCACGCCACCTCCTTCCTCTTAGGATCATGGTACAACTGAGTCCCCTCTCCTTTGTTCTCTTGACACTGAGAGCTGGGTTTCAGTCGGTGGCACTGCCCTGTGCACATTTGCAGGTGTGCTCTTTCTGGCTCCTCGTTGGGGACTATGAATAGTACTTCAGGCTGCAG